CTCTGCTGATTTTTACAGATTCAGACTAACACAGCTACCCCTCTGATATCTGAAAGATAGTCAAATAAGGTTTCTTTTCCTTTCTGAAGGCTCTCTAGAGCTCAAGGGAAAGGCAACAAGGGTTATTGCTAAAATGAAAACCTTATTTAATACTTTACCTACATTTCAAATGCTTTAACTGTCTCCCCTCCCCCCCCCACACACATCTTTAATAAAAGATTAAAAGAATGTTTCATGGTGTTTGCGCCATGGTACAAAGCAGGCTAAGGTCACTAGATACCAAACTTGATAGGGGGCTGGACTCAATGACCTTTCAAGGTCCCTTCTAGTTCTAGGAGATAGGATATCTCCATTAATTAATTAAAAAAATATATTAGCCAAACCCCAAACCTTGTTTAAATTGTTTAATGTTGGACAATTTCAGGGTCATGTTAACACCTTTAAGTCTTTGGGCCCACATATTCCATCTCAGTTAAAACAACAGGACTCCATCTACAGTAGGAAAATGACCCATTCCTGACAATAGCGGGTCAGTACCAGATTCCCAGTAGAAACACTGACAACTGCTGGTTTTGTCCCTTCTGCATTACGTACACCGTTACAGGAAACAAGCACTGAATTGTAAACTTGGTACCAACCGCTGTTTACAGCAACAAACCAATTCCCTAGCATATACAGCAGAGTTACTGAGTCTTGAAATGATTCTATGCAATCAAGTATCATATCAGTGTCCATCATAGGTGGCAGCAGGCACAAAACAACCTGATACAACCTGCACTTCAGCAACCTCTTTCTGGCCAGCACTTTCACCACCATGTGCAAGCGTCATTATGCATGAAAATAGGAGAAAGGCACATAAAGAGGAAGTAGCAGGCACCAGACCATAAAGCAGCCTTTAACTTTTGAACCCAGAAAGCATGTACTGAAAGAACCATCATTACCTTTCTATCAGGCCAACCCCTGGTCTGCTCTAGCAATGTGAGCATAAAATGACTTTTTTTTTTTAAACACTTAATTCTGCACAAGGGCTTATATTTGATGTTTGTGATGCCCCAATTCAGGATCGAGGTCCCACTGGGCCAGCCACTTTAGACAGAGAGATAGAGTTCTGCGCTAGCAATCATACAGTTCTACCTCGATATAACGCTGTCCTCGGGAGCCAAAAAAAAATCTTACCGCGTTATAGGCGAAACCACGTTATATCGAACTTGCTTTGATCCGCCGGAGTGCGCAGCCCCGCCCCCCCGGAGCACTGCTTTACTGCGTTATATCAGGTCACGTTATATCAGGGTAGAAGTGTACTTGCTGAATCTCACTTCCAATTAGATGGTGAGTATGCCAATAGTACGCACGTGGGAAGGCAAGAAGAGGGGCAATGATGCTAAGACCACAGTGTTACATAGGTTAGCTATTGCATAGCTTAGTGGTTTGAAATCTAATAGAGTTGATATCATTATATTAAAGAGTGCTGAGTGCCATGCAAGGTTGCCAACTCATGATGGCATCACAAGAAATGTGTCAGGAGGAGGGATTTGAAGAATAGGATAGTGGATTTATGGATTAAGTCAGAAATGGCATTCCATGCTGAAAATCAGCAAAGACAGCATAGAGACATTTGTGGGAACAGACAGGTGTTCAAGCTTGCATCACTGGCAAAGCCAATGTGATAGGACACAAGAGTAGATAAGCAGGAGAGCAGAGCAATGAAAGATTTAGAGTGCTCCGGGCTGCTGAAGGAGACTTTCAGATGGAAGAGCTTTATAAACCCAGAGAATACACCCTGAATCGATGAAATCCCAGACGCAGGAGAGCTGCTCAAACTTACTTTCCCTTGGCCTCTTACATGAAAACAGAGCAATAAGCAGGGCAGGGCGAAGGGCACTCCAGCATTTGTCAGCCGTCATAGCACTATTTCCCTCCAGTACCCTAGGGTTCACTGAATTTGCCTCTTTCACTTCCCTCTTGGTCTAGAATAGTCAATCTTCAGACCCAAATTAATGGGCTTTCAGCCTCACCCCGCTAGAGGTAGAATGCTACTCCTACTCCTGCTGCTCCTTTACTCTGCACTGGTTGCTCAAAGCAGAACTAATCAGTGTCTCTGGATGACTGCAACTTGATACATATGTTTACCAGCCGCACTTGTGTCTTTCTTGCGTCTTTAAGCTGTGCTGATGGGCTCCCCACTTCCCCATGTCCCTTTATATTTCAAAGTGCTTGTATTTGCCTCAATCACTCCCACCCATTCTCACTCCCAGAGGGAACAACCTGGTTAGGACATAAATCTAGGCTTAAGCAGTAGGACTGACATCCCATCAATAAACTGTCATGAAGCCTTTTTTGCAGCATCCTTCTCCCTGCATCAGTGCTACAGTCACTCCCTGTTGGCTTCTCAGCACTATCCCCGCTACCTGCATAGCAGCCAGCAAGCTTCCTGCTTATCCTCACTCTGCAGCTGTTTTGTCTGCTTATGCAGCTTCAAGGCCCTACCAGCTTGAGGAAGTGAGCAAGCAAGCTCTCAAGGGCTTTGAAGGCTCCTCTCTCAGCATGCACTGTTCTCATCTCTGATTTGCAAGAAAAAGGCTAGCCAAAGAGAACAAAAGTTACAGTGGCAAATAAATGTATTTGGTGACCTTTTTCTGTTTGCCATCATCTTTGTAGAGCTATTTTCCCCAACATTATAGATAGCACAACTGTGATTATGGCATGCAAGTCTCGCTATTGTCCTTTATTACTATAAAGAAATAAGACTTCTCTCATTACTTCACCCATCTTCTCTTACAGAACTGCACTTGTTTTTATTTTTATTTTTTTAAATGTGCAGGAGCACTTCTAGGAGAGAATACTTTGTTTAGTAAGGTTCCCTGAAAGCTCAGGTGGCCTTAACTCCTGTCATGATCCCTTTACAGGCTATTGCTTTCTTCCTCTACGTCAGGCAGATAAATTGGCATCTGCAGCACAAACGTTCAGGATTCTTTTGCAGGATGAAACAGACACTTATGAAATGGAGCACTTGTCCACATACATAAAAATAGAAACCAAAAAAACAAAAACCACACACCATACCCACAGGGCATTTCACTTGTGATCAGAGTAGGGGACTGACTAGGAGTCAGGACTCATGGTTCTGGCCATTCTATCAATTCACACCTTGACCTTTTTTCTTATCCTCACTATGTTCGTATCTCCCCACCACCCGCCCGCATCTGTACAATGAGCAGAATATCTATTTCACAGACGAAACAGTAAGTTACACAGAGAAAGGCCTACAGGACTGCAGGCCATCATCATTAGCAGCGCTTAAGCCACCTGCTCTGCATGATGATTTAACAAGGGGTTTAAAACATGCTTTCAAGGAGTCCCCATCAGCTCTTCTCCTGGTTGAGACATGTCTGATCGTAAAAACCTGAGGTGACCTGCTTGCACTGATCTACAAGTTACTTATGAAAGAGACTTTAGAAGCTTGACCACAACAATCTATTGCTCCTTCCTGCCAATATCTGGAAATCTACTTGCTGTAAGCCAGACCTTGGGTGGTACAACATGGCAGTGCATTAGCCAATACAAGAGAACTATTACTAACCCTGTAGTAGTAGGATTTTATGTTTGTATTTTGTATGATTTAGAATGAAGGATAAAGAATAATGAGGTAATAATGTAGCATGTATTAAATGTATTGATGTATGATTGACCATATCCTGCCAGCCACCCTTTTTGAATAGCAGACAGGAATGGCTTGATATGCCATTAGTAAAGATGTATTAGCCAGAATTTCTTTGTGTCTGGACTGATTTTAAGGCAGTAACAGACGTTTGAGGGTCACCATTTTGTTGTAGGTTTAGCATTCTCAAATAAGTAAAAGAATGCTAATTGTTTTCTTTTGCATTGCAACTTGATGTTCCTGTTCAAAATGTTCTGTGTAAATTAATTCTGTTTTGTGTGTGAATGAGGAATGTGTGTGTTCAGATAAGTGTGAAGGGCATCGCTGAACCAGATGGTCTAGGGAGGAACTGGAGACAGATGCAAGAGCGCCAGGAGGCTGCAACATGCCCCTACTGAAATGTCAGGGGAGGGCAGATTGAGGACTCTAAAGATGAGACAGGCACCTATCAATGGGGACGAGATAGCTGTAATCAAAACCAGCATGGGATAACTCCCTGAGAGACTTGATGAAAGAACAAGATAAAGGATGAGAAAAACAATTTAAGAAAACAAGCACTCGTCAAACAACAATTGATTACAGCATGACAGTGCAAAACTCATTGGTCCCAATGAAGGAAAAATCACTATATAAACAGGGTGCCTTGCCATGAAACTGAGTTCAGACTGCCAAGACTTCCCCAGAGCATCATGTCGCGACCGACAGAACCTGGCTCCTACCTAACCAGGATCAACCTCCCTGGCCACTAGATTGATCTGGACCGGTAACTATAACATCGACTGGCAGGATAGTGTGTGTGTGTATGTGTGGTATGACTGAATGCATATGCTAATTGTTGTATCTTCAATAAACGCGGCACATTACCTTTTCCCCTGAAAAAGATATTGTGTGCTTCTTATAAGCATAACAACCCCCTTCCTCCAAAAGTCTCAGAGACAGATATCTAGAGAAATCAAGGTCCATAAACTGGCCCGTTTGCAAGGGAGTGCATCACTGTAGTCTGGTCAGACAGAAGTGTCCTTATGTGTCTTGAGATAGACCTTTCTGGAAGAGAAGTGGTCTTGACCTCTTCCTAATCAGATTTCAAACTGGGCAAGTTGCTTTAAGTAATTTCTCATCCAGAATTATAGAGAAGTTCTGCAGACACGCCCAT